AGGACGCTACTAGGGGCTCCTGGCCTTGCTACTAGGAGCAAGGACGCCACTAGGGGCCTTGCTACTAGGAGCAAGGACGCCACTAGGGGCTCCTGGCATCGCTACCAGGAGCAAGGACGCTACTAGTATAGTAGGTCCTAAAGTATCCTGAAGGTCATATGTGGAACCTCATCTTGGCGGATGTCGAATGGTTTTTTTTCTTGTTTGCAGATCGGGTGCCCAGCCACCAACTGCAAACTACTGGTGATTTAGTTGGTTCTCTCTGGTTTGTGAGCCAAGGTAAAGCTGGGCGATTTGGATGATTTCATCTCTTTGTCCCAGGTGGGACCGGTGTTGTGGTGTCGAACGCCTGGGGTCTGGGCCGCATGGCCTTCCTTCAGCACGACTTCCAATCGCAGAAATGTGTGCGTCGCGTCATACTGCATTCGTCGCGTCGCAGTGGAAACAGGTGAGAACCACTCCAATGTCCCGACGATGGCATATGGGGTATACCGGGTAGACGGTCTCCAGCCCCTTTGTCCAAACCTCATCTCCGGTCGGCCAGGAATGCGTGAAGCCGTTGATTCAGGCAGAGAACAGGGAACAACTGGGAAGAGCTGAAGAGGGAACTGGAAGCCTGACTCATGCTATTAGGTTGGAGGCCATCGCTAGTACGTTCCTCCAAATCTGTTGCTTAAAGTATGTTTTTCTAAAAGGGTTGGAGGCCGAAACCTCTTCTCCGGTGTCCACGGGTATTTCCATGGTAGGCCATCTGTGCAGGTCCGGTCCTGTGCATCCAACATGAACTTCTGAAGTCGTGGGCCACGTCCATTCCCTGGTGTGGTGTGAAGAGTGTGGAGACCTCGAAGGACGAAAGTGGCGCGGAAGGAGGGAATCAGATGGGAAGGAGGAAGAACGGAAAGTTCCAAAACAGGTCCGACAAAAAGTTTCAAAAAAGGAAAGGAAGGACCATAAGCAATAGCATAGAAGAATGGAAAAGGACTCCACGTCTCTCAAATGGAAGACTTCATCAGTCAGCTTTGCGGCTTGTTCGTTTGGTCAGGGGATGCAAACAACATGCAGATGGCCTCCAACCTACTAGCGAAGGCCTCCAACCTAATAGCAACATTTGGTGGTGTGGAAAGCAATAGCGATCACGGCGATCAAAACCAAAGCATACGGTTGGTAGGCAGTTGAGCTTGCCTGCACCACCTGCACCACCAGCACCTGGTTTTCGTCCTATGCGGCACACAAGACGTGCAGCAGCGACTAGTCATTCTACCAATCCTTCTAGGTCCTTTAGGAGCGACTTGTAGCTTGTGCCTTGTTGCGAAAGTCCCAATCAAATTAAACCCAAGTGCATGTGCAGCTGTGTGATCCATGATCCAAGCATATCCCGTAATCATGGGCGTTTTGTCGAGAATGTTTGATACAACATCTTTGTTTGTGCGTAGACAGCCCTATTTGTTCTTCTTTGCAGGCCGCTGATGGAACTAACAAGGTGGGAAGGGGGTGAAATCTGAGTTGGATCCTGGGGATTTGGAACAGTAGCTGTCACCTGGAATCACTTCGCAAACATGGTAAACAAAGGATAGCAATCGAAGGATAGCAATAGTCTTGCACATCTTGCACTCACTTCGCAACCAGCTCTCGCAACTGTGAGTAAGTACAACCATAGATATTTGGAATACACGTCTCCCGCTTCAAGCACAACCTGTGAGTTGCGACATTTGTGTTTGGATTCGTTCATGACCAAGCCTTGGTCAGGTGTTTGGTTCTTGAAGCCGAGTTCCTAGCTGGGCCATTGATTTAGTGGGCTTTATGGAACAACCAGAGTTTTACTAAGGCTTACTAAGGAGTTTTTCACTACAAAACCAAGACCAGCTCAACCATTCTTTAAATGGTCTTAGAAGGCAACGGTATACCTGGTAGTTTGAAGCCTCACACACCGCACGGCCGCGCGCTTGCCATGCCCAGTCAGCGCAGCTGCAAGACATCAGTGAGGCGAAAGCGCTGCCAGTGGCTGAGGTGGGATGGAGAGCGGGCAGGGCGGTGCCAGAGGATGTGCGAATCCCGACTGTGTGTAGCCCTTGGAAGCATAGAGAGCCTTTGGGCTTCTTAAGCATGCAGGGAGGCAATGGACACTTTGGAAAGCATTGCCCGAAGCCCTTCCTATCTTGTCGTGATATGACTTTGGGGGATGCCAAAGTCAATTGCCTACTGCATTCTGACTTTCACTTCCCACTTGGTCCGGTTCCGACTTTCAGAATCACTTCTGGCCTTTTGCAGCGCTGCTCCGAACAAGGGCCACTCGTGAGTGGAGGTTACGTCGATCGCGGAGACCTCTGGACCACGATCGACGTGTTCACATGTGTTCACGATGCTTGGACCTTGGATACCTCGACCTGTTCACTTAGGCCTTGTCAGGGAAAGTGGGAACGGTATGTACTTTTTATTTCGAGTGTGTTCAAAGGAAAAGACTTGCGTTGCTCTAAAGTGACATGGGAGTAGAAGAGATTCCTTGGGTACTCGTTCAATCGCAGTGTGTGTTTTTTTTAGTGATTACTATATCTCAGCAATCGCTCTAAAGTTCAAGTCCCGCACTTGAGTATATTATAGTACATGCATGCTCGTAGTTCGGCATGTTCAGCTCGTCAGTGGCTGCATTTGTGGTAGTTAGCCAACCTTCAGCGCTTCCAGACCCACCACTGACCTGTTTTCGTTGCACATGATCCGATGATCCTCACATTTTGGGGGCTGAAGCCTTCCCAGTTACTCATCGAGTTTACTCATCGGGGCCTGGGTTTCTTTGGAGTTTTCGATCTTCACCTCATCCACCATTTGCTGCAGGTGCCTCAGGTTCAAAAGCCGAACCTCATCAAGTGCGGATCCCCAGACTCGCGTGAGGAAACTGCTGGAGATCTGAAGGAACACCATGTGCTTTGTCCACCATACGTTTGGAGGTGTTTTCCCTCTCTTTGGGCGACTGACACTTGGGGCTTTGGTTGGTGGGTCTGGGGTTTGGGATGGGTTTGGGTTTGCATCTTCTCCCGTTATCAACGATAAGACTCCCTCAGGCAACCCTATCAACCCACTATGAAGACGCCAGGCTTGTTGATGCACACGGCTTGCACAAAGAGAAGTGGACACCTGTAAGCGAACCTACTAGTCGCTTCTTCTGACTCGTAGGTATTGCCAGGAGCGCCCCTAATTAGTAGTGTCCGATCGCTCCGTTCGTAGCGATGCACCTTGTTGCTAGTAGCGTCCTTGCTCCGTTCGTAGCAATGCCATTTGCTCCTAGTAGCGTCCTCTTGTTCCTACTAGTAAGGCCAGGAGAGCCTAGTAGCTTCTTGTTGCTAAGGCTTTGTGCCACACCCTTCGGTGCCTCACTGCCTCGGATGTGCTTCCCCTCCGGACGTCCGGACACCGCGCGGGGTCCGACTCCCTCATCGGCGCTGTGTCCACGGACCAAGGTCCAAGCAGAGCAGCACCGATCCGAAGGCAGGTGGAGTGGGGTGTCTGCAGGGTGTCACAAGGGTTTCTAATAGCTTCTTCTACTACTCCTAGTAGTAAGGCACTTGTTCCTAGTAGCTTCTTGTTACGGAAGAGTGCTGGGTTTTGGAGCTGGGATCTTGATGCTGGAGCGAGCGAGCTCGGGTAGATACTGTAGGAGTGAACGTCGTTGGAGCTCGGTGGTGATTTCGAAGTCGTGGGATACTCGTCTATGCAGTTCAAAGAACGATAAACACTCACCAAGGACGAAAACGTGATGGACGCAAGCAATACTGTGTTCACCAGGTCCCGATGACCTTTTGCCACGCAATCAATGTTGGTGTTTTCTTCCACAAGTTGTCTTAGCACTTCAGACGTTGTTCCAGAAGCATCTTGCGTCATTAGGGGCCTTCTCTTTTCAGGATCTTCCAAAATCATGTTGACAGAAGTAGTGCAGCTTTCTTGCAAAGCTGTGAAGAGATATTTGAGGCCATCACTAGTAGGGGTTGAGGCCATCATATGCTTTCCTCTTTTTTCAATGAATAAGCTGACAAAGCCTCGCTGAGCTGCCGAGCCAAAAGACCTGTTTTCTGCTCACAAGGCGCAGATCGGACAGGTGAGCCTCTCGGAGTCTTGGAAGAGAAGTCAAGTTCCGCGGTGGTTCACATCCTTCTTTCGTCTCATAGTGGATGTCCTTTTCCCTTGGTGCAGTCCGGTTGGTCAACAAAGGCCTGCCAACCGGACTGCACCACCCTCCAGTTGTTTTCTTTCGTTGGATACGACAACAGGGTTTCGCTACAAGGCCCGTGCACAAATCCTCCCAATCACAAGTTGCGCATTGCTTCATGTAGGTAGCCTGTGTAACTGTTGCAACAATTCCATGTGTCACTGAGTTTGGTCACCAACGCCTTTGACAAACTTGGTTCATCCCTCTTCCGACAGGCAAGTTTCAGGAGAAGCTATGCTGAGTCAATTCCCCTTTGGTCCGCAACCACTAAACTGTCAAAACTCATTACACCGGCAAGGGACCCCAAATAGTGTAAAGAGGAACAGATGGAACATGGCATCACGTGGAAAGGAAAGAAGGAGCACACAGATGAGAGCACAAATATGAGAGGATACATACGAGAGCACAAATGTGAGAGTGCAGATTCACGAGCACAAATGAGAGCACACATATGAGAGCATATGGGAGCACATATGAGAGCACATGAGAGCACACATCTGAGAGAGCACATAGGCGAATACATAGGAGCATTTCAAAGTTCACAATGTACCGCGCCTGCTACGAAATCTGCACATGGAGGTTCACAAAGTACTGCGCCTGCCACGAAATCTGCACATTGAGATTCACAAAGTGCTGTGCCTGCTACGAAATCTACGCATCGAGATTCACGAAGTGCTGCACCTGCCACGAAATCTCCACTTCCAGACTCAGCAAGTGCTGCGCCTGCCACGAAATCTGCACATCTAGATTCACACAGTGCTGCGCCTGCCACGAAATCTGCACATCGAGATTCACAAAGTGC